AAGGAAACATTCTGGTGTTGTTTCTAGCCTAATCTTTATTGCCCTGTTTATAGAAACTGCCTCTCTGGTTAACCCTTATTACATTGTAACAGCTAAGGCGACGTGTCCATTGACATGAGTGACGTTGAGTTGGCCACACCCACATGGTTACATGACCACCGAGCCATGCCTCCCCAGCTGGTCATTAGGGCAGAGAACCAGTTGTTAAATTATTTGAATCCCACCACTGGATAGGGCCCAGTGTTCAAGTCTGTCAAGATCTTTCTGCATCTTGAGTCTATCTTCTAAAGTGTTGGATACTCTCTCCAGCTTTGTGATGTCTGCAAATTTGAGAGTTTTATTTATTTATTTATTTATTTATTTATTTATTTAGTTAGTTAGTTAGTTAGTTAGTTAGTTAGTTAGTTAGTTTGCTAAACATGTATGAGAAAACAGGTATAAGTATAAACATGGACACGAACACAGAAAATGAGTACAAATAAATGGGGACAATAGGACAGGGACGGTAGGCACGCTGGTGCAATTATGCACACCCCCTTACAGACCTCTTAGGAATGGGGTGAGGTCCACAGTAGACAGTTTGAGGTTAAAGTTTTGAGGGTTTGAGGATGTAACAACAGAGTCAGGTAGTGCATTCCAGGCATTGACCACTCTGTTGCTGAAGTCGTATTTTCTGCAATCGAGTTTGGAGTGGTTTACCTTGAGTTTATATCTATTGTTTGCCCGTGTATTGTTGTGGTTGAAGCTGAAGTAGTCACTGAAAGGTTGGACCTTGTAGCAGACAATTTTGTGTACTACGCTTAGGTCAGACCTTAGGTGGCATAGTTCTAGGTTGTCCAAGCCCAAAATTTCAAGCCTGGTGGCATAAGGGATTCTATTGTGAGCAGAGAAGTGGAGGACTCTTCTCGTGAAATACCTCTGGACTTGTTCAATTGTATTAATGTCCGATGTACAGTGTGGATTCCAGACAGATGAGCCGTATTCGAGAATTGGTCTGGCAAAGATTTTGTATGCCCTAGTTTGCAGTACAATGTTACCAGAGAAGAAGCTTTGCAAAATTAGGTTAACAATTCTTAATGCCTTTTTGGCAATGTGGTTATAGTGGTGCTTAGATCATTAGAGATGGGTACTCCAAGGTCCTTGATAGAGTGAGAGTTGTCTACAAGGTCATATCGGTCCAGCTTGTATTTGGTGTTCTGATTTTTGTTGCCAATGTGTAAGATAGAGCATTTGTTGGTTGAGATTTGGAGTTGCCAATTGTTTGACCATTCTGACACATAGTCATAGTCCCTTTGTAGGGCAGCAGCATTATCAGTGGTGTTGAATAGTTTTACGTCCTCAGCAAAGAGGACGCAGTTGCTTATAATGCGATTGCAAAGGTCATTTATGTAAAGCAGAAAGAATGTGGGTCCTAATGTTAATAAATTTATAATGAATAAATGAATAAATTTAATAAAATTGAGAGTCGAAGGTGATTCAAGAGAGATTTTACCTTTACAGCATGAAATGATTGCTAACTACTGCCATAAGTTATGGTCTGCAAAACACAAGTGTTGGGATTCACACAGGGGGTTAAATCGTAACCAAACAAACCCAACTTCAGTAATCAAAATTCAGTAATCTTAGAGATGAAATCCAGAAGTCCAGAAACACGCTTTCTTCTTATGTGTCCCAACCAGGGGTAAAATCCAGCGGGTTCTGACAGGTTCTGGAGAACCGGTAGAAATTTTGAGCAGTTCGGAGAACCGGCAAATACCACCTCTGGCTGGCCCCAGAGTGGGGAATGGAGATTTTGCAGTATCCTTCCCCTGGAGTGGGGTGGGAATGGAGATTTTGTAGTATCCTTCCCCTGCCATGCCCACCAAGCCACACCACGCCCACCAAGCCATGGCCACAGAACCGGTAGTAAAAAAATTTGGATTTCACCACTGGTCCCAACCAGGGGTGGGTTCTACTTACCTTTATTACTGGTTCGCATCGCACCCGCGTGCGCTCTTCTGCACATGTGCAGAAGCTGGGCAGAGCCTCCTCCCGCCGGTTTTACTACCGGTTCTTGCGAACCGGTCCGAACCGGGGGCAACCCACCACTGTTCCCAACATGTTAACAGATACTGGCTTACTTCTATTAAAAATGGTGAATTTTCAGAAACACCCCCACCGCAAACGTTATTAGGGTGCAAGTACTGCATATAACTTGCATTCATGGCGACCTCTCCTCCTTTCCAGGGCATGCAGAGATAACGAAAAGATTTGGCTTAATCGAAAGGAAGGGCTACCTTGAGTTGCAAACACTAATCCATGGGGGAGCCTGTTCATCGAATTCATGGGCTGGAGAACTCTGCCCTTGGTTGCTTAGTTTAGAGGGAGTAGTAAGCGTAGGGTAAGAGTTCATAGAACGTAGAGTTGGAAGGGACCTTGGAGGTCTTGTAATCCAACCCCCTGCTGAAGCAGGAGAGCCTATACCATTTCAGACAAGTGGTTGTCCAGCCTCTTTTTGAAAGTTATTTACGGGACCGCCTACTACCACAAGCAGCCTCCCACTGGCCGGTACGCTCTCATACAGAGGGGCTCCTCCGGGTGCTATCAGCTAAACAATGTCGACTGGCAGCCCCCAGGGGGAGGGCCTTCTCTGTGGGGGCACCCACTATCTGGAACGAGCTCCCCCCAGAGATACGGAGGATCCCGGATCTACGCACTTTCCGCCGTGCTCTTAAGATTCTTCTATTCCAGCAAGCCGGCCTGGCCTAATTTTCTCCCCCGTTTTAAAATTCTTTTACATTGAAATTGTAATTTGTTTTAAATTATTGGGATTTTTTAAAATTGTCTTGGGCTAAATTATTTAATCTGGTTTTAATTATATCTTTTAACTTTTGTATTTATGTATTTTATTTTGTGCCTGTTCACCGCCCTGAGTCCTTCGGGAGTAGGGCGGTATATAAATCTAATAAAAGAAAAAGAAAAAGAAAGAATGTGCCGAGATGAATAAATTAACGCTAGAAATTAATGATAGAGAAGATTCTGATTATTATAGCGTGTGGGACAAGTGGTACAGGTGGTTAGAGAAGAGGAAAATGAAATAAAAAATGAAAGAGACCAGAGTGAGTACAAGAAATAGTTAAATGAAATAGAAAGAGAAGATGTACTGTAGATGGTAGAAAATATAACGAGGTAAGGAAAGGTTACATAGGTAAGCCAAAGATATGACTTATGTATTTATTAATTTACCTTTAAAGACCCATTATATTATATATACATTAAGAATGATATAAGTATACATTTTTATACCATGTAACCGTGTAGCAAAGATTATCTACATGTACAAACATTTGTATTTTTATTTATTTCCTTTTCCTACACCATGTAACCGGATGGATAAAAAATTGTATTATTATAATTTCTTAACAATAAAACATTTAAAACCAAAAAAAAAAAAAGAAAAGAAAGAAAGAAAAGAAAGCCTCCAATGAAGGAGCACCCACAACTTCTGGAGGCAAGCTATTCCTTTGGTTGATTGCTCTGACCATTAGGAATTTTCTCCTTAGTTCTAGGTTGCTTCTCTCCTTGGGTATTTTCCATTGTTTCTAATCTTGCTTTTTGGTGCTCTGGAAAATAATCTGACCCACTCATCTTTGTAGGACCCTCTCAAATATTGGAACACTGCTATCATGTCACTCTTCTTTTCACTAGACTAGACATACCCAGTGTCCAAGTAATACACCCATAGCAAACAGCTTCAGGGTTGACACCCAATTTCTGTTCCTATGTGTGAGAGAAAACTTCTCTCACGGTTTGCCGTGCCTATTGATTGGCTTCTGGTTTGGATATTTGAATCGGCCAATCAGAGCGCAGCTCCTGATTTTGAATTTCCCAGAGCTTTTGTAACCGACACTAACATGGTATATAAGGAACCGCTCTCCAGCGGGGAAAAATGCTTCCCCAGGTCAGAGACAAGAGCTGAAGTCACCGAAGCCTCCTTCTGAGGAAGGAAGACCCGGGCTCCAATCGCATGGAGCGACTCCAAAAAGAGCTGAATGGACATTGCTGAAAGGGAGATGACTACTGATATTCTTTTATAGATTTTCTTTTGTTTGTTTTATTAAATTAGTTTGTTTTAAACTCCTCTGGCTTGTTTGTTTGACGCATTTTGTAAGCAGATAAGGTTGAGGTCTACAAAACCTCCACAATGCTATGTTTTAGCCTCCAGTGCCCAATCACACTTGTCGCTCTTCTCTGCACTCTTTCCAGAGCCTCGACGTCTTTTTTATAATGGGGTGACCAAAACTAGATGCTCTATTCCGAGTGTGGTCTTACTAAGGCTTTGTAAAGCGGTACTAGAACTTCACGTGATTTTTTTATTTTATTTATTTATTTATTTTTATTTGATTTATATGCCGCCCTTCTCCGGAGACTCAGGGCGGCTTACAATGCGTTAAGCAATAGCCTTCATACTTTTGTATATTTATACAAAGTCAGCTTATTGCCCCCACAAACTGAGTCCTCATTTCACCTACCTTAGAAAGGATGGAAGGCTAAGTCAACCTTGAGCCTGGTAAGATTCGAACCTGCAGAAATTGCAGGCAGCTGTGTTAATAACAGGGTGCATTAAACCACTGTACTACCAAGGCTCTTTTGATTCTATCCCTCTATTAAAGCAGCCTGGGATTGCACTGGCTTTTTTAGCTGCTGCCGCAGTAAATACTTCTGAGCACAGAATTACTTCTGCTTCTCACCTTAACAGATTTTCAATATGAACCATAGATGTATTGATTCTGAACTCAGCGGATGCAGCTGGCAGAAATTGAGAAATAGTGTCCAAAAATGATTTCAAAAATGAGAAAAATATAAAGAGGTAGACATACTATAGCTAGAGATGTAGATATAGGCATAGATACACGGACACATACATCCACACGCAGCCACTTGTTGGAGAAAATGGGAGGGATTTTTTTTAAATTTAAAAACATTTTAAAGTGTGTGCATTCTTTATTTTTTTTCCCCAGGTTAACAGAAACCCATCGTGCGGCTGTCAAGGTCATAAGGAGGATGCAGTATTTTGTAGCTCGAAGGAAATTTCAGGTAATGTAGGCCAGAATGAGCAGAATGAGTCAGAATCATAGAGCCATACAACCAGAATTAGCAGAATGAGTCAAAATCAGGGGTGAAATCCAGCAGGTTCTGACAGGTTCTGGAGAACTGGTAGCGGAAATTTTGAGTAGTTCGGAGAACCGGTAGCGGAAATTTTGAATAGTTCGGAGAACCGGCAAACACCACCTCTGGCTGGCCCCAGAGTGGGGTGAGAATGGAGATTTTGCAATATCCTTCCCCCAGGAGTGGGGAGGGAATGGGGATTTTGCAGTATCCTTCCCCTGGAGTGGGGTGGGAATGGAGATTTTGCAGTATCCTTCCCCTGCCACACCCACCAAGCCACACCACGGCCACCAAGCCACACCCACAGAACCGGTAGTAAAAATCTTTGAATTTCATCACTGGTCAAAATCATAGGGTCATGTGGTTGGAAGGAACCTTGGAGGTCTTCAAGGCAGGAGTTCTCGTACCATCTTGGACAAGTGCAAAGATGGCGCTAACAAATCTAGACTGAATGGTTTCAAGGGTGCCAAAGTTCCCACTGAGAAAAGCCCTGATAGCTTTCCCTACCAGATCACCTCCCGGATCCTTTCCATGTCCAATTTGTTTTTGTTTTTCAGAAGCCTTCCCACTAAGAAAGTAGACATGATCTCAGTTTGATGATCTTGCTGAGGTTGCGGGACAGATCTGATTAACAGGGATAGAAATCTCCAAGATTAAAAACTGTAGGATTATGGAAGAATATGAAAGAAGAGGTGTGGGTTTTATAGTTGTAGTCACCATCTTGACTCTTTTGACACCTCACACCCGGGCAACACTTGTAGACGTTTTCTAACTTGTAGATGTTTTCTAAGTTTAGACTCTTTCATCCTGAAATAAAGTCACACTAAGATGAACCAACACCTCAGGTTTAACTGATTTCTTGCCACGTTCTTCTCCCTGGAATCTTTAGCTGATATTTTTGCTTTAAAAAATAGGGTTTTCTACCTTATTCTTTACCTTGCCAAATTATTGACTTAGAGGAAGGGAAGGAGGGAGGGAGAAGAGAAGGAAGGAATGAGGAGGGAGGGAGGGAGGGGAAGGGAAAGGAAGGGAAGGGAAGGGAAGGGAAAGGAAGGGAGGAATGAGGAGGGAGGGGGAAGAAGGAAAGAAGGGAGGGAGGGAAGAGAAGGGAAGGGAAGAATGAGGTGGGGGAAGGGAGGGAGGGAGGAGAAGGGAAGGAAGGAATGAGGACGGAGGGAGGGGAAGGGAAGGGAGGAATGAGGTGGGAGGGAAGGGAAGGGAAGGAAGGAATGAGGAGGGAGGGGAAAGAAGGAAAGAAGGAAGGGGGAGAAGAGAAGGAAGGAATGAGGAAGGGAGGGAGCAAAAGGGAAGGGAAGGAAGGAATGAGGTGAGGGAAGGAAGGGAGGGAGGGAGGAGAAGGGAAGGAAGGAATGAGGAGGGAGGGGGAAAGAAGGAAAGAAGGGAGGGGGAGAAGAGAAGAAAGGCATGAGGAAGGGAGGGAGGGAGGAGAAAGGAAGGGAAGGAAGGAATGAGGTGGGGAAGGGAGGGAGGGAGGGAGGAGAAGGGAAGGAAGGAATGAGGAGGGAAGAGGAAAGAAGGAAAGAAAGGGAGGAGAAGAGAAGAGAAGGGAGGACTGAGGAGGGAGGAAAGGAGGGTGGGATTGTTTACTTGTTCCAAAACACCACCAAAATACATATTGTGATCTCTCTGTCAAAGAAAGCTGATAGCGAGCGGGTCCTCCCTATTTTTCAAATCCTAGACAGGGCTTTTCCCTCATGGGAATCACCTCCAGTCGGGCCTTCACCTTGAACTGCGACTGACTTCAGTCGCCATCTGGTTTTTGCTGTAGCCCTCGGTTTTTCCTGATGTTTATGCTTTTAAAAAGAGCTACTCGGAAAACGAGCCGAGAGGAGAGGTGCCAACTTCATGCCCTCTCCTCTCCTCTGTGGCTTTCATTCCCCGTTATTTATGGGTTGACTAATTCTAAGCCTTTGCTTGGGCCCGGCCACTTTTCATTTTGCATTACTTAACTGCATAAATCTTTAATTCTGCACCAACAAAGGGAGGTTTGGAAAATTAAAGTTTATTGGGAAAGGAGAAAATTAATTATGCATTTGGATAGCCCACCCCTCCCGCCTTTTTTTTTCTTTTTCTTTTCTTCCCCCTGTTTTGTTTTCAAAAGCTTTGTAAACATCTAGGCTCTGAGCCATCGCGATTCAATAGCAAGAAAAACCCTCCCCTCAAAACACACACACACACACACACACACACAAAACCAACTCCAGATCTGGAGCGTAACGGGTGCCCCCCGAAACAAAGTGCTCTCAAAAAACCCCTGCCAGTCAATCCAGAGCCATCCTGGCAGAACTGCCCCTGCCACGGAAACAATGGCTGGCTGTTTTGCTGGCCAGAAGTAAGGATGTGTCAGCGTCTGTCAGCAGTGAAGGAAGAAATAAAAAAAGGACAGAAAATGTAATCATTTTTAAGCTTTTAAAAATGGAAAGTATAACAAACCCGTTCCAAGCAGTTCTAATTTCACCAGATGGGAGTGCTGCTTAAAAACCCACTGCTAAAGCTATTCTTTTTCCTTTCCTTTCCTTTCCTTTCCTTCCCTCCTTTCCTTTCCGGGAAGGGCCTTTCAGGGAAGGAAAGGAAAGGACCCTTCAGGAACGGAACCCCTTCCCTTCCCTTCCCTTCCTTTCTTTCCCTTCCCTCCCTTTCCTTTCCTTTCCTTCCCTTTCCTTCCCTTCCCTTCCCTTCCCTTCCCTTCCCTTCCTTTCCTTTCCTTCCCTTCCTTTCCTTTCCTTCCTTTCTTTCCCTTCCTTTCCTTTCCTTTCCTTCCCTTCCCTTCCCTCCATTTCCTTTCCTTTTCTTTCCTTTCCTTTCTTTCCCTTCCCTCCCTTTCCTTTCCTTTCCTTTCCTTTCCTTCCATTCCCTTCCCTTCCCTTCCCTTCCTTTCTTTCCCTTCCCTCCCTTTCCTTTCCTTTCCTTTCCTTTCCTTTCCTTTCCTTTCCTTCCCTTCCCTTCCCTTCCCTTCCTTTCCCTTCCTTCCCTTTCCTTTCCTTTTCTTTCTTTCCCTTCCTTTCCTTTCCTTTTCTTTCCTTTCCTTTCTTTCCCTTCCCTCCCTTTTCTTTCCTTTCCTTCCTTTCCTTCCATTCCCTTCCCTTTCCTTCCCTTCCCTTCCCTTCCTTTCCTTTCCTTTCCTTCCCTCCCTTCCTTCCTTTCCCTTCCCTCCCTTTTCTTTTCTTTCCTTTCCTTTCCTTTCCTTTCCTTTCTTTCCCTTCCCTCCCTTTCCTTTCCTTTCCTTTCCTTCCGTTCCCTTCCCTTTCCTTCCCTTCCCTTCCCTTCCCTTCCTTTCCTTTCCTTTCCTTTCCTTTCCTTTCCTTTCCTTCCCTTCCCTTCCCTTCCCTTCCCTTCCTTTCTTTCCCTTCCCTCCCTTTCCTTTCCTTTTCTTTCCTTTCCTTTCTTTCCCTTCCCTCCCTTTTCTTTCCTTTCCTTCCTTTCCTTCCATTCCCTTCCCTTTCCTTTCCTTCCCTTCCCTTCCTTTCCTTTCCTTTCCTTCCCTCCCTTCCTTCCTTTCCCTTCCCTCCCTTTTCTTTTCTTTTCTTTCCTTTCCTTTCCTTTCCTTTCTTTCCCTTCCCTCCTTTCCTTTCCTTTCCTTTCCTTCCCTTCCGTTCCCTTCCCTTTCCTTCCCTTCCCTTCCCTTCCCTTCCCTTCCCTTCCTTTCCTTTCCTTTCCTTTCCTTTCCTTCCCTTCCTTTCCTTTCCTTTCCTTCCCTTCCCTTTCCTTTCCTTTCCTTTCCTTTCCTTTCCTTTCCTTCCCTTTCCTTTCCTTTTCTTCCCTTCCTTTCTGTTCCTCTCCTCTCCTCCCCTCCCCTCCCCTCCTTTCCTTTCTTCTTTCTTTCTCTTTCTCTCTCTCCTGATTTGTTTTCTCCCGCCCCCCTTCTCTCCTTTCATCTACCATTTCTAGGATCCCATGGCTGAACTCCAAGCATGGTCCCATCGCACACTGGAGGTGCTTAATGCATGCTAATAGTTAGCCCAGTCTCTGGCAGAGTGGAAACAAACAATCCGGCTAATGAGCTGTTGTTAGTTATTTTTCAATTACCGAGTTTTCCCGGGTACCTTCTCCTCCTCCCCCCCACCCCTCTTTTTTTTTTTCTTCTTCTCTCTTGAACCCTAGCCAAAAGAAGGGAGACCTAACTCGCCCCAGATTCCCTACTGAGCTTATGCAGATTCCCAACCACCAAAAGCCCAAGGGTTACTTTTCCCACTCACCATGCCTTTCCTATGTTTACTCCATTAATAGTAGCATTGTTATGGAAATTTACCAGGTTTAGTTTTCTCTCTTCTTCTTCTTCTTCTTTCTTTCTTTTTTTTAGTGCTCAGTCTCAGCCAACCCCGCTGGTCCTTGAAGTCTGAGCCAGTCCGATTGAAGCAAATGAAAATTAGGAGTTTTGTTTTTAAAACTGTTTTGGCCCCTACCCCCCACCATCCCCCCCACCCCGCCACCAGACGTGTTTGCTTCCCTTTGGCCTGTCCCAAATTCTATACAGATGGAAAATCTTTTGTTTTTGTTTTACTTACTTATTTATTTATATTTTTGAAAAGTCTTGCAAGTTGGCCATCAACCGAGACATTTTTAATACGTGCTAAATACTAAAAGAGTAATTTATTTTAAAAAAAAACCTGTGTCTTTGGATAAATAGAATAGAATAATAGAATAGAATAAAATTCTTTATCGGCCAAGTGTGATTGGACACGCAAGGAATTTGTCTTCGATGTATATCAATGGTGAAATCCTTTTTTTTTTTTACTACAGGTTCTGTGGGCGTGGCTTGGCAGGCATGGTGTGACTTGGTGGGCGTGGCTTGGTGGGCATGGGGGGAAGGATACTGCAAAATCTCCATTCCCACCCCACTCCAGGGGAAGGATACTGCAAAATCCCCATTCCCTCCCCACTCCTGGGGAAGGATACTGCAAAATCCCCATTCCCACCCACCCACTCTGGGGCCAGCCAGATGTGGTATTTGCCAGTTCTCTGAACTACTTAAAATTTCCGCTACCAGTTTTCCGAACTACTCAAAGTTTCCGTTATCGGTTCTCCAGAACCTGTCAGAACCTGCTGGATTTCACCCCTGGGGTATATGCTCTCAGTGTACATAAGGAGAATAAACTACATTCATCAAGAATAAAAAGATACAACACTTGGTGATAGTCAAGGTTACTAATAAGCTATCAAATCATACTAGGAAACAAGTAAAAAACAATAAAATTGAAAGATACAAGAAACATGGTTATAGTCATAAGTGGAAAGAGATAGATATTAGTAAGGAAGAGAAGAATAATAGTAATAATCTTAGTAAATTATTTGACAGTGTTGTGTCAAATCCAGGCATCTGCCTGGATGCTCATGGGTCTGTCCATCCCCTCCAGGAATTTCTTGATGTCCTGAGGAAAATATGGGTCCTTTTGCTTCTAAGCCAGGGATGGAAATGGTTATTCCTCTAGGTCACACATTTTAATTCTTTGTTTGCAGCCCACAGGGCTTTGGATGGCAATGCAGTGACATCACTTGGAAGGAAGAGAGCCAATTTTCCCCCCTTACCCTTGGGAAAAAAAAATGTGCACCAAGATTCCTTCTTGTCCACCTCAAAAATGTGGTGAATAATCAGAAATTCAGCAATATGCCACTTATTTTCTTACTGGGCTTCAGGAGAGTGCAGAAGGGGACATGGGACAATCCTGTGGATCGGGATGCCCACCCCGATCTTAAGCAAAAAGAGCCTGGTGGCACAGTGGACTAAACTACTGTTAAAGTAGCACTTAGCTGCCAGCTGACTGCAAATTTGGAGTTCAAATCTCACCAGGCTCAAGGTTGACTCAGCCTTCTATCCTTCCGAGGTAGGTAAAATGAGGACCCGGTTTTGTGGGGCAATAAGCTGACTTTGTATAAAAAAAGAACACCGCTTTGGGGGTGCCCAAAAAGTCCTACTAAGCAGGTATATACAAAAGTATGAAGGCTATTGCTTAAAAGCATTGTAAGCCGCCCTGAGTCTCCGGAGAAGGGCGGCATATAAATCGAACCTAAATAAATAAATAAATAAATAAATAAATAAATAAATAAATAAATAAATAAATAAATAAATGTATGTGATACAGGTAGTCCTCGACTTATGACCACATTTGCCCCATTTTACGATTTTTCTTGCCACTGTTTTTTTTTTATAAAAAGTTTTTTTTATTAATAATAAAAATTAAAAACATTGGACATGGCGTGATGTCTCCAGTTTAAACATTTTCGTCAAGTTTTACTTTGCAATCGATACAATTCCTTGTCTCTATACAAGTTTTACACTATTTATCGCATTTCAAACATGTTGATTCTTTCATCTGTGAAGGTTACATCAATACCAACTTCGTTCCTTTCTATCACAGAAAACTAACATAAAAACTTCTATACATTCAACTCGTCAACAGTCCTTTATCCCAGCATTCCTCCTCCTGTCCGGCCAATAATAAAATTTGTTCCAGATTTCGTAATACTCTGTTTCATTCTTATCTTTAAGTTCCAGAGTCAACCTGTCCGTTTCCGCACAAGTTAATGTTTTAGCTAATATTTCTTCTCTTTATTTTTTCCATTTTTGTGCAAAAGCCAATCTTGCTGCTGTTAGAATATGTAACATTTTCTTGCCACTGTTGTTAAGTGAATCACTGCAGTTGTTAAATTTGGAACACGGTTGTTAAAGTGAGTCTGGTTTCTCCATTGACTTTGCTGGTCAGGAGGTCGCATTAGGGGATCACGTGACACCCCGCCCCCCCCCGGGACGCTGCAACTGTCATAAATATGAACCAGTTGCCAAGTGGCTGAATTTTGGCTGAATTTTGATTGTGTGACCCAGTGGTGGGTTCCACCCGGTTCGGCCGAGCCAGTAGCAGTGACGATATGACGTCACCGAACTGGTTCTCATTGTTCGGGAGCTGGGCCCTCCTGCCCACCCCCCCTGCATTATTCTTACCTTTTATTTGGCCCCGCCCCCAATCTATTGCTGCCTCCTGAGTCCCAGCTGATCGGTTAGAAGGAATAAAACTGTTTAAACTCTTGCCGCGGGGCTTCAAAGGGCTGCCCTATAGCTAATCAGTGTTAAACGACAGTGTGGTGGTAGACCGGTGTGCTCGAAAAACAAATGAGTAGACCAGTGCCTCCAAAAACAAATGAGTAGACCAGTGCCTCCAAAAACAAATGAGTAGACCAGTGCCTCCAAAAACAAATGAGTAGACCGATGCCTCCAAGAAAAAATGAGTAGACCAGTGCCTCCAAAAACAAATGAGTAGACCAGTGCCTCCAAAAACAAATGAGGAGACCAGTGCCTCCAAGAACAAATGAGTAGACCAGTGCCTCCAAAAACAAATGAGTAGACCAGTGCCTCCAAAAACAAATGAGTAGACCAGTGCCTCCAAAAACAAATGAGTAGATCGATGCCTCCAAGAACAAATGAGTAGACCAGTACAGCTCTGCAAGCAGTTAAAAGCCTGGTAGAACCGGTAGTAAAAAAATTTAGAACCCACCCCTGATGTGACCATTGTAGATGCTGCAACGGTCGTAAATAAAAGGAATAGATCAGACATCCAGCCCTTGCTTATCAATGGAGATCGAGTGGAGCAAGTGGGCAGTTTTAAGTTTCATGGGTGTTATCCTAAAAGAGGACCTGACCTGGGGCTCTCAAATTGCAGTACTGGTCAAAAGGGCCCAGCAGAGATTATACTACCTGAGACTTCTCAGCAAACAACAATTGAATGGAAAACTGCTGGTGACCTTCTACCACTGCACCATAGAGAGTATTTTAACTTACTGCACCTGTGTATGATTTGCCAATTGCACATTGGCAGATAGGACAGCCTCCACAGGGTTAACATCAATGCCCAGATGATCATTGGTTACCCTCTCCCTTCCTTGGAAGAGCTTTATAGCTCCCGCTGCCTTAAGAAAGTTCAAAACATTCTTAAAGATCCATCTCATCCTGGGCACCCTTTTTTTTTTTTTGAACTATTACCATCTGGCAGACGGCACAGGGCAGTGGTGGGTTTCAAAATTTTTTACTACCGGTTCTGTGGATGTGGCTTGATGGGCGTGGCATGGCTGGGTGGGCATGGCTTGGTGGGCGTGGCAGGGGATGGCTACTGTAAAATCTCCATTCCCTCCCCACTCCAGGGGAACGTTACTGCAAAATCCCCATTTCCTCCTGATCAGCTGGGACTTGGGAGGCAGAGAATAGATGGGGGCGGTGCCAGTCGGAATTTTTACTACCGGTTCTCTGAACTACTCAAAATTTCCACTACCGGTTCTCCAGAACTGGTCAGAACCTGCTGAAACCCACCTCTGGTACAGGGCAATAAAAACAAAGACAAATAGGCTGAAAAACAGCTTCTATCCCAGGGCAGTAACCATATTGAATTCTACTGTATAGTGCAATATTAATGCAGTGTCAGGGGTTTTCAATCCAATTGTGTAGAATGCGAAGGCTGTGTGCTTGTGTTTTATTCTTATTGTTACAATATACACTGAAAATGGTATTTAATTTTGTTGTATGAGTTGCAATGGCAATAAAGTAAACTAAACTAAACTAAATGTGAAAAATGGTCATAAGCCACTTTTTCCAGTGCTGCTGTCATTTCAAACAGTCACTAAATGAATGGTTTTAAATCAAGGGCTACGTGTAATATTAATATGCTGTATGATTTTTAAGCTTATTTTTTTTTCCCCATTTTTTTTTTCCTCCAGCAAGCTCGGAAGCCTTATGATGTCCGTGACGTCATTGAACAATACTCTCAAGGACACCTCAATATGATGGTTAGGATAAAAGAACTCCAAAGAAGGTTAGTTACATTCTTCATTCATCCCAGAATTCTTCCTGGGATCCTTCAGATGTTGTGGTTTTTTGTTTTGTTTTTTTGGACTACGGCTGTCACGGTCTCCTATCCTTGACCAAGCTAAGGATGATGGGCAAGGAAATCCTGGATATCAGAGAATATGAATCAGCTTCATCTTCTCAGCCCAAAGGAGTGGCCTTCTGAGTGAATTTAACGCAGGTCCCAAAATAGGGGTGGAGAGAAGAAATGGGAATCCAACAGTGAGAAAGTTTCTTGAATTTTCCTTCCGGTTGGCAAGGCATTAGAATGTGGGCACATCAGAACCAGGAACCATTGAAACAACAGATCTGATGTCACTTTACTAGAATATATATTTATTTATTGACTAGCCTATAGGCCATATCAACATACAGGTTCAAACACATATCTATATATATTAAAATGGCTGTGTGTGTATGTTCCAGCATAACTCTGGAATGCCTTGAGCAATTTCAACCAAACTTTATATACAGATGACTTACTCTCTGGAAAGAAATACTGTGGGATTAAGACACCCCTAACACCCCTCGGGGGGGGGGGTTGTTCTGTTAAGATACAGCCTGTTGTACCTTAAAATGGCTTCTATTGTACTCCTTAAAATGGCTTCTACTGTGCAGCACAGTGGAGTTGCCATGGTAACAGTACTCCACAAGGGGGCTCCCTCTGGTAAGGAGGAAAATCCAACATTAAAAGTTACGTTTGGTCTGGACATTTTCAACAAGGCTTTGATTATTTTTGAGGACAAATGTATGGCCACGATCAATAAAACCAAGATCAGAAAAAAGCATACCAAATGATCATGGATCAGCTAGCAAAACAACAAGATGGTATCATTTTACTTGATGCTTCTGGGGGCAGAGGGAAAATATTTTTAACTAATTTAATTCTTGCCGAAATCAGGGCTCAGGGTGAAGTTGCTCTTCCTGTCTAATACAGGATTGGTATAAATAAATACTCGGGCAACGCCAGTTTATCAGCTAGTTACCAATAAAATTCTAAACCAGTGGTTCTCAACATGTGGGTCGGGACCCCTTGGGGTCGAACGACCCTTTCACAGGGGTCACCTAAGACAATCAGAAAACACATATTTTCAATAGTTTTAGGAACAATTTTACGGTTGGGGGTCACCACAACATGAGGAACTGTATTAAAGGGTCGCGGCATTAGGAAGGTTGAGAACCACTGTTCTAAACAAATAATTTAAAATGAGAGTAGGGTAAAATAGAATAGTTATAGGATACAATAATTTAATACATATATATATGTAAAATGGAATAAAATGACATAAACTTATATTTATGTATCACCCCTGCAATCTACCCAGTGTTGGGTTTCAAAATTTTTTACTACTGGTTCTGTGGGCATGGCGTGATGGGCGTGGCTTGGTGGGCGTGGCAGGGGAAGGATACTGTAAAATCTCCATTCCCTCTCCAATCCAGGGGAAGGTTACTGAAAAATCCCCATTTCCTCCCAATCAGCTGGGACTTGGGAGGCAGAGAATAGATGGGGGTGGAGCCAGTCAGAATTTATACTACCGGTTCTCCGAACTACTCAAAATTTCCGCTACCGGTTCTCCGGAATTGGTCAGAACCTGCTGAAACCCACCTCTGAATCTACCCCAATCAGGCCCAAATATGTCGATCTCGGGTCGGACCATTTTAGTCAGGAATTGTCCTGTATGAAACGTTTACTAGTACCGTAAGTATTCCAGGTGTGGCCTTACTAAGGCATTATAAAGCGGTATGACCAGAGTCAAATTAAGCAGAGTCATGATCACAGCCAAATAAATGTATCTGGTTATTATAATCCATGGGAAGAAATTCAGATTAAATCTGTCTCCTGGATCAGAGTGAGCTCGCTTAGAATATGATTGACGTCTTTTCTTTTTTAAAAAAAAAAAAGTCTCAAATCTATTTGAACTCTGCTGAATTAAAATCTCCCTTCTCTTCTTTTTCTAGGCTGGATCATTCCCTCGGAAAGCCTGGCCTGTTTCTTCCAGGTACAGAACTAACTTTTACATCAGCTATTGAGTTTTTTTAGAAGGGGAGTCGGTCGTGGATTAAAAGTTAAACTGGAAACTGCTCTGACGATCCCAGATGACTTCCCTGATCAGCAGAGGCTTTTTTTTTCTTTTAAAAACATCTTTTCTATAACCTCTTTGGCGGAAGAGGTTGTAGAAAAATTCTTTTAAAAGCCTCTGATGATCCCAGCTGAGCCGCACGATCATCAGAGGCTTTTTTTTTTTTACTTTTAAAAGCATTTTTTCAGCCAAAGCGGTTGTAGAAAAAATGCTTTTAAAAATTAAAAAAAAAGCCTCTGATGATTGCGCGGCTCAGCTGGGCATGGGGGGGTGGCAGGGATTTTTGCTACCAGTTCTCCGAACCACCCGCCTCCATTGCTATCCAATCGGGCAATACGGTCCGAACCGGGAGCATTTCACCTCTGGGCGGAGCCTCCCCCCTGGTTTTACTACCGGTTCGCAAGAACCGGACCGAACCGGGGGCAACCCACCACTGCAGAGGCTCAAGGTTGACTCATCCTTTCATCCTTCCAGGGTTGGTAAAATGAGGATCCAGATGATTGGGTGCCTAACTCTAACCCTAACTCTGTAAACCGCTTAGAGAGGGCTGTAAAAGCACCGTGTCTAAGTGCTATTGCTATTTGCTTATACTAGAATATATCCGCATATCCTTTTTATTCACAGAAAATATTCTATCTGTAACAATATCGGCAATGAGCTTTTTGTAACCTTCACATAACTGCATTTCAGTCGGTTGCAATTCAAGCACAAATCCTCTTCTATTTTTTCCCCCCTTTCGTTTCTTTTTTTTCTTTTTAGAAAAGGGGATAGACAAAGGCTATTACACAATGGGAGCCAGACTGATTAGACTGGAGGATAAGGTAAGGTCTTTTGAAAATAAAAATAAAAATACTATTTTTGCTGGCCAATTTCCAGCCATGTTCTTCTGATCAGCGGGACTGTCAGTCTGCATCCTTTACTCAACATCTGAGCCAAAGAAATGTACTGGTCGTGAGAAATGTGTCAATGAAATACGGGTTACATTGGGATAGCTTTTCATTGAAACAAATTTCATTCTCAATCTAGATGTGTCTCCGAGCAGGGAATGTCCCTTTGTGTGATGCAAAGATACGTTCAGAGTTTGCTTATTCTGAAACTCAAAGCACTGAATAAACCATAATTCTCTTTTTGCTTCCAAGGTGACCACTTTTGTCGTGTCCTAATTAGCTGTGGTGGTGGTGGTGCTGCTTTGAGAGTTGATTTTAATTAATCTGTGGAAAATATGATCATGTATTCCAGGGGTCTCCAAACATGGCGACTTTAAGACTTGTGGACTTCAGCTCCCAGAATTCCCCAGCCAGCATAGCTTCTGGGAATTCTGGGAGCTGAAGTCCACAAGTCTTAAAGTCGCCATGTTTGGAGGCCCCTGATGTATTCAATTTAATTGTTTAAAATAATTTTTGAATTATTTTATTTTTTGTCATTCACATTTCATTTTGTCCCTCCTTTTACATCCTTTCTTTAATGATTTTATTCCGCCATTTCCTGGAGATTAGTGTAAATTTTGTCCGGTGGTGAGTTATCCTGTGGCGTGTTGGCTGTGGCGAGTTGGCCGTGGCAAGCAGCCCCCAAATGTTGATGGAACGATCCAATGGATTGATAATTGATCGGGGAGAAAGGGGGTCAGTAGGTGGTGGATAAATAATGGAAAGTCAATTAAACTTTTGGAGTCTCAGCAGAATTCCATACCAGTCAAATAAATTAATCGAGTTGGAAGGGACCTTGCAGGTCATCTAGTCCAACCCCGTACCCAAGCAGGAGACCCTAAATCTGCCTCCACCTAGGATAGAACTCACAACCTCCTGATTCTGAGGCAAGAGCTCCAGTCCTTTATGACTAGGGCTAAGACAACATTATCTAAGGTTGGATTGTCAACCAGCAGAAAGAATAGCTTTGTGTTGTGGCTCCGTTGCCTGAGCCTGGGCTATCGACAGATGCAGACTCTGAGAGTGAGGGAGAGGAGTTGGCAAGGCCTCCCTCTCCAGGACCCTCCTCTCTGGCAATGCCTCCGGAGGACACCGAAGGCCAAAAGATAGGCTCAGAGCCAAGCACGTCCCCGCAGCCACAGGTGGACAGCGACGAAGAAGATAAGTGCTGGCTGGACCCTCGGCAGAGGCGCAGGGAGAAGCGTGCGTAGCAGAGGGGAAGGCGTGCCAGAAATTAGCTGAGTCACTGGACCACACTCCACAGGGTATAAATGTGGGTGTGGTGGCCGGTTCAGTTTGTGACGAGCAAAAACTGGAAATAATCCATGATCTCTGCGTTACTGGACTTCTGCCTGCCTTGTTGGACTGCATTTGGACTAATCTTTGTATTGCGGAAACTTTGCCTGCTTTATCGGAATGCTTAAGTCTAATCTTTGTTTTGTGTGAGTAAAGTCTGAATTGGCAGCTAGCCACTGGGTTGCTGCCAGCTTTATCTTCAAAGAATTTTGCCGGGCCATCCGTGGGGGTACATGTGTGGTACGGGGACAGAACAAAGTGATGAGGAGGGTCAGTAGGTGGTGGATAAATAATGGAAAGTCAATTAAACTTTTGGCCTCTCAGCAGACCCCAATTAAACTTTTGGGGTCTCCATACCAGTCAAACAAATTAATAGAGTTGGAAGGGACCTTGCAGGTCATCTAGTCCAACCCTCTGCCTAAGCAGGAACCCTACATCTGCCTCCACCTAGGATAGAACTCACAACCTCCAGATTGTGAGGCAAGAGCTCCAGTCCTTTATGGCTAGGGCTAAGACAACATTAACTAAGATTGGATTGTCAACCAGCAGAAAGAATAGCTTTGAGTTGTCTCTAAGTAGTAGTAGTAGTAGCAGCAGTAGTAGAAGCGGAAGTACGTTAAATAGTAGCGGAAGTGTAAATAGTATTTATTACATTATTTTCATATAATAAATGTTTGGGGGGTGGATGAAGGGGGAGGGCCTTCTCTGTGAGGGCTCCAACCCTTTGGAATGAACTGCCCCCTGAGATATGAAATATCCCTGATCTCCGTGCTTTCTGCCGTGCCCTCAAAACCCTGATGTTCCAACAAGCGGGGCTAAACATATGAACATGTGAATGTTTTTAAAATGTTATCTAATTTTAGGTTTTATTTAATTGGGCCAAACTATGTTATAATAATAATTTTAATTAGCAATTTTATGATGTTTGTGTATCTATATTTTTCTTGACTCTACACCGCCTTGAGTCCTACGGGAGAAAGGTGGTATAGAAATAAAATAAATAAATAAATAAATAAATAAATAAATAAATAAATAAATAAATAAATAAATAAATAATCTGAAAGTTCATGTTAGAGTCAATGAGCTGAAGTGTTTGAGAATCTTTGTTCTAAACCAAGGGTGTCAAACTCAGATCTGGCCCGTGGGGTATCTGGCCCATGGGATGTTTAGATCTGGCCCACAGGGCCACCCTGGAAACAGAAAACTGGCCTTTTAATATTTCCTAAAATATTTCATTTTTCCAGGAGAGGGGTGGGTGCTAACTTCCTACACCTACATTCTTTTTTAGACCTTGTTAATAATTGTATTGTACAGTAAAGTGGAGCTTAATCTAACTTAGCTTCCTGCCATAATCACTGGGTTCTTACCATGACAATACTTTTATGTTAATAGTAGAGATGCATTCAGATTGCAGAAAGATGTTGTTTTTAGGGGGTTATTTTACCTTTACAATTTGATCTAGTTCTGTTAAGGATCCATTGAAACCTACAGGTTATTAGGAATAGCTGAAGTTTTGCCTTGCAAAATCTCCACTTCCGTTTTGTTTCATTCTATTAAAACGGTATTCCTGCACTTTCTATCAAATATCATTGATTTGCATGCTTCCAATTGAAAGGTTTTCGTTTTTATTTTCTAATGTCCTTGAGAAAACAGCTTCTTTGATTGAAGTTTCCTTGAATAAAACCTGTCAGTTTTGATCAGTGTAGAGAATGTTTCCAAGATCTCTTGGTATTAAAATTTACTTATAAAGTTGCCTTCTGTTGCCGCTTTATAAACTAGAATTAGAAGTGCCCACTTCCAATTTTTCCATTGGAATGGAAAAGCGGTGTGCTCCAGAGCAAGGGAAACACTGAAACGAAAAAATAAATTCTAATTCTAAGAGAAATGGAAAGCCATAAATGGGTAACGTATATCAGTGGTGAAATCCAAATGTTTTTACTACCGGTTCTGTGGGCATGGCTTGGTGGGTGTAGTGTGGCTTGGTGGGCGTGGCAGGGGAAGGATACTGCAAAATCTCCATTCCCACCCCATTCCAGGGGAAGGATACTGCAAAATCCCCATTCCCTCCCCACTCTGGGGCCAGCCAGAGGTGGTATTTGCTGGTTCTCTGAACTACTCAAAATTTCCGCTACCGGTTCTCCAGAACCTGTCAGAACCTGCTGGATTTCACCCCTGATGTTATTAGTATATGCTAATAACTTGGATGAAAAATACCTATTGTTTTTCATAATTCTACAGCAATCTCTTCTGCTATATATAGTTATAACTGACATGCCTGTAATAAAGTTTCAAGTGTACAGATTGTGTAAACACGATGGGGCTACGCGGTAGCATTTAAAATGAGCAAAAATGCTGAGAAATGCAGAGGAGTAAATTTTGTAGCCTTGAGGACATGAGCACAGTTTCAGGGCAAGTCACAGCAAAATAACTTACATAAATATACACTTCACTGCTGGGTGAATTCATTTAGTTTTATTTTTAGTAAAAGGTAGTCGAACTGGAAAAGTAAAGTAGTTGAGAAAATTACAAATACATTCTCTCTTTTTTTTTTTTTGGTCAGTGTTGCCCCGGGCATTTTATAATATTAAAACTAAGTATATCTTAAGATAAAAATAACAATGCCCCATTTTCTACATAGCTGGTAATTTTCAACTTCTCAACTTTGGCTCATAGTTTTCTACAGTAAGATGCTGATTTATGCGATGGCCATAATTATGATCACATCGGATGTCTATGGAGATTCTCAGTCATCCAGGTCAGGTTTGTCCCAAAAGTGCTAGAAGAAGCTTCTTGGAAAAGAAGCGAAACAGCTTTAAAGAAAAAGCAGTCCAGTTGTCTTTGAAAAAACACCTTTGGGATCAGATGGGATCTACTTTAGCAGGAGCAAATTTTCTATGGTGGGGAAGAAGAATGAGCTTGAAGTTTCTTTATTTAAAAATTTGTTTGTTTGTTTGTTATTTTATGCCACCCATCTCCCCACAAGGTGCTTACAAGTTATAAAATAAGTAAAAAAAATAATAATTAAAACATTAAAAACTACACAGATTAGAATCATGCTAAAAAAACCCCCTCCTGTACTAAAACCAAAACTAAGTGAGCTAAGAGACAGACAGGATAGGGATGAGGTCTCTTTACCCCATCAGCCACCTCCAACGATGGCCACCCTCCTTGGCGTCCCAAGCCAAGTGGCAAAGCCAGGTTTTGATACTCTTCCTGGATGGAGGGGAGCAGTTCCCACCACCAGTGGTAAGAATGTTCCTGTTGTGATCTAGGCTTCCTGAGTCATTAAAACATATGAGTAGTTCCAAAAACCTCTTTTATTGCAAGAGCTGTGAATTACGTTCATTCACAGCTGAGTCCCAATTAGTTGCAAAAAGTCCTTCGGGAGAAGTCCTTCAGGATAATCACCAACCTTTATCTCCCTTGACACTCTGCCAAAGACCTACTTGGCAAAGCCACATGGAGTCCAGAATCAAACAGAGATGTCGACTGGGAACAGAATTAACAACGTTGCTTTCCTGCAAAGAGCCCACGTGCCTTTCCTCACGCTCTTATGCCAAATGCAGGGCTAACGAAGAAAGAAAACTCATATATTCCTC